CGAAAAATTCTCATGTAGCTTTCGGCTAGATTGCTTTTTGGCTGCCTGTGCGTCCCTTCGAATATAAATTGGAAACCTTTTTTTCGAAAAATATCAAAGCAGGAGTGTGTGAGGAGCGGGCTTGTGTGAGGAGCGGCCGTGTGTGAGGAGCGGCAGGTGCTCATGTAGCCTTCAGCTAGCGTGCTTTTCGGCTGCCTGCATTGTCCTTCAAATATATATTGCAAACCTTTTTTCGAGAGTGATATCGAAGCGGTCGTATATGAGAAGTGGGCATGTGGAGAAGCTACCATGTGTGTGTTGCCACAGATGCTCACGTAGCCTTCAAATATAAATTGGAAACCTTTTTCGGGGGAGATATCGGAGCGGTCGTGTGTGAAGAGCATACTTGTGTCAGGAGCGGCAGATAATTCGCGGCAGATGCTCAAGTAGCTTTCGGCTAGCGTGCTTTTTGGCCACCTACGCGGCCCTTCGAATATAAATTGAAAACTTTTTTTTTGGAATAGATATTGGAGCGGGGGTGTGTGAGGAGCAGATGGGTGTGAGAAGCGGCGGATACTTCGCGGCAGATGCTCACGTAGCCTTTGGCCAGTATGCTTTTCGGCCGCCTGCACAGCCCTTCAAATATAAATTGGAAACTCTTTTTCGAGAGAGATATCGGAGCTTGAGTGTGCGAGGAGCGGGCGTGTGTGAGGAGCGAGCGTGTGTGAGGAGTGGCATGATGCTTCACGGCAGATGCTCAGATAGCCTTCGGTTAGTGTGCTTTTCGGGCGCCTGCACGGGCTTTCGAATATAAATTAGAAACCTTTTATCGGAGAAGATATCAGAGCGGCCGTGTGTGAGGAGCGGCAGATGCTCATGTAACCTTTGACTAGCGAGCTTTTTGGCCGCCTGCATGACACTTCGAATATAAATTTGAAGCCTTTTTACAGGAGAGATATCGAATTGGGCGTGTGTGAGGAGCGAGCATTTGTGAGGAGCGGCTGATAGTTGCGATAGATGCTCACGTAACCTGCGGCTAGTGAGTTTTTCGGCCGCCTGCTCAGCCTTTCAAATATAAATTGGAAACCTTTTTCCGGGAGAGATGTTGGAGCGGGCGTGTGTGAGGAGCAGGAGATGCTAACTTAGCCTCCGGTTAGCAAACTTTCGGCCACATACGCGACACTCCATTCTTATATTGGAATCATTTTCTCGGGGAATATATCAGAGCGAGAATGTCTGAGGAATTGTATGTAGTTGCATTGGTCTTCCTAAAAGACAATATAATCGTACTTCTTAGTACTAGTGGTCTTAGTTCCACTATGTAGTTTGTTTTATGGTTTTATTATAGAATTTCAAAAGTCATGCAACAAGAATTTCTTTTATGGTGTTACAATATATAATTTTAAAATTCATGTATTTTAGTTGATTTTATGTTCTTGTTATAAAATTTTAAAGGTCATGTAGTATATTTTATATAGTCTTATTGTAATAATTTAAAATTATATTAAGTAAGAAATAAGAACTATTAGGAAAAGAAATAAATTGCAAAAATTAAAACACATGAAAGTTTTCCATTCTTCAATAATCAAAATAGAAGTTAATTATATCTAGATAAATGCAGAATATGACAATTCAAAAAAAAAAAATCACTAAACCAAAAAATAAAAAAATAAAAAATCATGCGCATTAAAAAAATGACTAAACAAGAAAAAGACGAAAGAAAAAATCCGGCTAAAGAAAACCCCCCAAAAATTGCCCCCGTAAACCAAAAAAAAAAAAAAGGAAAAAAAATACCCAAAATCTACCCCCCCAAACCAAATAGAAAACAAAAAAAAAAACAGAAAGAAAAAGAATACCTGCGCATTAAAGCGCGCGTGGGCCATCCCACGCCCCTTCCTAGTGTGTGCATTGCACACACCATTAAGTGAAGCCAGCTGGCTGTACTTAATGCGTACGCTATAATTTCCGCTTGCTTCTTATACGGAGGTCCAGGATAATTGTCGGGGTCGAACCTTCGGTAAAGTGATCCTCCATGATTGTATGATTGGATACAAGACGTGATCATGCTTAGGGTGAATGGCACAACTTGATCCCGTCAAATCGAATTCTTAGATTTGCAGTCTATTATTTGAGAAGTGGATATGATTTTTGAAAAATAAAGGACCGAAGGAATGAACAGATCCAAAGTATGCCACTCCAAGTTCAAACAATATACGTACAATTGAAGGATTTCATAGGATTTCCTCACTGATTTTCCCCAACTTTTACCTTGAGCAAATTGCCATGTTTCATCCTCCCGTCCATTTACCAATATGTTTTGAAATTCATATGAATTTTTAAAAATAAAGGTTGGAATGAATGAAGATCCAAAGGAAAAAGATTCGTGTTTTACAAACGTGAGTAAGAAATTTAACATTTTGATTACGTCGGATTTGTGCCAACGAAATGTGCACCATCGATCACTTTCGTAGTTCATCTTGCTTTTTTTGTTGATTATTTATGGGTTAAAATTTAGACTCTTCTTTTAATGTTGGGTTAATTATATAGGCATTTCTGATATTTTCTGAAAATGTTAAGTAATATTGACTGTAAGATAGTTTATCAATGCTAAACTTGAATTTTGATCAAAATATTGGGACTAAAATGTTGTCAGAACAATAGTCAACTACCATTTCATAGAGGCCATTGTGTATCCTCTCAATGCCAAGTTATATTCTGCATCACTTATTCTCCACTCCCTTCTATCCTATCCAAATTTACTGTCTCTTCGCCTAATGCAACTTGGCTTTCATAGTTTCATACATCAGCTTCAAAAAATTCTAATAAAATGTCTTCAGATTCGGGTAAGATATCATCGGTTACTTCACACAAGGAATTTCGCAGGCAGCATCTGATTCTCCCATATATTTCCAAGTAATTACGACAGAAAACTCAGCGGACTAACCAATGCGTCCAACCTCAATTTAAGCAACAAAAAATAATGCATGCATGCGTGACCAAAAATCACAAACAAAACAACTGTAGGAATTAGAAAACCAACGATAAAATTTTTCATTATGAATTCTTTCTCTCCAAAGAAATTTGCAACGTTATTGTTGTCGATGATTCTAGGGCTATGGTGCGGCGTTGTAGTTGATGGTGATCCAGACCTAACATTAGTTTCGGAAGAATGCGAGCCAACCACATTTCCGCCTGACGATCCTCACATAAACCATATAGCGTTTGTAGTCAGTCTCGTGACTAACATAACGCCATCAATACCCGAATATAATTACGCTGCTTCTTCTGATTCGGATGGACTAGCTTTGGGCCATGGAAGATGTAAACCATCTCTCTCGTCAGTAGATTGCGGCACGTGCTTGGTTGCTGCAAAAACTGAAATCATGAGTTACTGTGCCGATCATTCTTATGGTCAAGTGGTGCTCCAAGAGTGTATGATTGAATATATAGCATTTTAACAATCTCCGCATAAAGAATGAATGACACAAAAGTGAACAGCTTTTAATTTTTTTTGTTTAACCCAAAAAAATTTACTTTTCTATCATCACCAAATTTAAACAGTTTTCATACACAGACTAGACAAGAACAAGATTTTCATACTTATTGGTGTCAAATATTGACCTCTTTTGAACAGAAAGATTCTTAAATAACAATGCGGTATTAAAACTAAAACAATTGGCATCAAGGCTAAAACAAAGCTGGAAAATTGATGATGTTCATCGGCATATCCAGAGCATTCTCTCCGCAATAGCATAGGAGAGAAGTCTGGGCGGTGTAGGTGTGGGCAGGGAGGTGGTTTAGATTCAATGGAAGGCGCCGCCGTTTGACTTCGTTAAGGTTAACACGGAAGGCGCTTTCTTGGGTTCAATCGGGATGGCGAGTGCTGGGGGAGTTGTTCGGGATCATCATGGCAAATGGCTTGGGGTTTTGTGATGAGTATTGGTTTTTGTACGATCATGGGTGCTGAGTTATGGGGAATTTTCCAGGGCTTGCAGTTGGCGTGGGAGATGGATTTTCGCCGTGTTGTATTGGAGTCTGATAGCCAAAGCGCGGTGAATCTGCTATCGGATGGGGGGGAAGTTGATGGTATACACAGAAGTTTGGTTATGGCCATCTGGGAGTTGCAGAACCGGAGGTGGGAAGTTCAAGTTCTACATGTGTTTTGTGAGGCGAATTTTGTTGCGGATTTCCTGGCATCTTTCGCGTTCATGGGAAATACTGGTTTTTTACGTTTGTATGATCCCCCCTCAGGTGCTATTCCTTGGCTACAACATGACACAATTGGTGTCTCCTATCCAAGGAAGGTTTTAATCACCTAAACTAGGCTTATGCCTTCTTTCATTGTACCAAAAAAAAAAAAAAAGCTGGCCTCCTAGATTTTATGGTGATTGTTTAGCCGACATGGGATGGACATAAAACAATTTGCAAACTGATATAAATAATTTGAATATTTAATATTTAAATGATGTTAATTAAATTACCGAAGTTATCAATACTCAGAAAAATATGATGGTAATGAAAAAAATGACCCGAGTTATGTACCACATTTTAAGCAATCAAAATGGCTCATGCATGATCAAGAAATCAATAACAAAATGTAGCCATTATTTAAGACAATGGAATGAGAGGATCGATCATGATTACACGACATTAATCTCGATGAGGTGTTCAAACTAAAATGACAAATGGAATCACGTTCTTTTTTTTAAATCTAAAGACAATTTTATTAATAATAATAAAAAAATAGGGTAGGGAATACACTAAACCCTATATCAAATACTCCCTCTATCCCAAAATTATTGTCCAGTTTGAAATTTCATTTTTAGTACAATTTGAACTAGAAATGAAAACCCAAACTGGACAATAATTATGGGACGGAGGGAGTATAATTTTGGTCTGATTGTGATGAAGTTGAGTGAGATAAGGGAGTTTTTTTCCGGATTTTGTTGACCAAGTGAAGGAGTCTGTTGCGCAAAGGAAAGGCGCGCAATCTCAGGATTTTGTTGAGCAGAGGGTGGCAGCGAAATCATCGAAGACCCCCCAAATTTATGAGCCACCATTGACTCATGCCAGTTTTCCATATTCTCCGGTGCAGCGGCGGGAGCAAGGGTTTCAGTATCATCAGGGGTGTGGGTCGCAACGAGGGCCTGGCTCACTGCGATGGTCTGGTGCACCACAATCGAAGAGAGTGGGATGTGTTCATTAGCAGCGGCGATGTCATCGGTGTCTGTCTAGTCCATAGAGATTGTGCAACTTTGGAGGCCTTCTGGTTGTGCGACAGGGGTTGCTTGCAACTTTGGAGGTGGCTGCGCAACGCTAGAATGTATGAGGTCTCCGGCGGCAATGCCCGACGGAACCTGATTCCCGGTAGCAGCAACTAACAACGACGGGAGTTTAACAACATCAGAGGGCGTTGGATTTGATTGATTTCCTTGTTTTTGATTTTTTGAGTGATGGTTTGAAGGCTGCGATTCTTGCTGTTGCGATGGACCTCTACTGGAGGCTTCTGTTGGTGCAGCAATCGAAGATGCAGCAGCAGCGATAGCCTTTGTTGGATGTTGTTGATGAGATGATTTGCCTTCCTCAATTGGGGCAGCAACAACGATAGCGGTTGCCCTATGATCATTCAACATAACAACGTTGTCAGGAGCCACGGTTTGAAGAGGGTGTTGATTATCCGTTTCCACAGATTGAGTTGCCGATTGGTGTGCTTTGTCCAATGTCTGTGATTGCTGTTTTGGTTGTTGTTTTTGATGATGTGAAACCATCTTTTGTGATGAAGATATGGCTTTGCTATGATGGCAGGAGTGGATATCATGCCTATCTTTTTCGATTCACCATAATACTGAGGCATGTTTTCATCAAAAACTGATTGAAAGTAAGAATTACCTTAACTTCCAGTCTGATTCGAATAGGATGATCCTTGAGAAGATCTATCTCTACGCAAACAAGTCCCACCGAAGGTCGCGACATATTGAGAGTCGGAACATCAAGTTTCCACAGATATTCCTCGTTAAAGCGATGAATGAGGAGACCTCCAAAAGATCTATCCTTGATGATGCTAGCAAGTTTCCACAGATATTCCTCGTTAAAGCGATGAATGAGGAGACCTCCAAAAGAAACCCAAATTGTAACAATTAAACTTTCATGCGATGGATTAAAGTCTGTGGTCCATTGTAGAACTCGCGTCCGATGCGTGTCAAAAATCCACAAACCTTTCAGCCAACATCAATGAAAGTTTTCCGCCAAATAGAAGCAAATGAGGACATGTCGATGATTGATCATGCCAAAAACAAGAGGAGATTTGTTGGTTCTGAATATATCTCGGGTTGATTTAGAATTTGATTTTTGGTTGAGGTATTGTGGATAGTTTTTGGATTTGCCTTAGATCCCAAAATCTGGGCAAAGGAAAGCTTTTGTGGAGGTTTAGGTGGTGACATAGGGCCTATGGCCTGCAGTGGATCGCCGGCCATAGGAGAGGAGGAGGAGGAGGCTTAAAGAGAGGAGATTTTTTTCCCTAAACGGAATCACGTTCTTAATGACGAAAGGATGATTTATTTGTCCATATCTTGAAGGTCCATATAAACGAATACATGAGTTTATCTCAAAACCAATTAACATCGAAGGGAGTAGCAACATGGTATTTATATGTTGGTAAAGTTCGATTACTATTTCTAATGTAAGAGAAGTGTCTTTCACTTATATTCAAATTCAAAGGAGATTTTAGCACCCCCTCATGCCCAAATGAGTTGGACAAAACCCTTTTTAACAATCAAACTCCGAATAAGTCAATATCAATATTCGAATCCGTAAATAAGGAGGCTCGTATATGTTGCCAGGTCAGTCAAATAGGATAAAGGACTATCTCGGTCAAAGTATATATTGCAGTAAAACACCCCATTATGACACAATCTTGAAGGTACATATAAACCCAGATGTAGTTTCACCTCAAAAACCAATTTCCAATGATGGATGTAGTATATGGAATATGGACGCAATATATATATTGTTCAAGTTGGATTACCATTTTTAATGTGGGAATGAAAGTGTTCAAACCCTTGACGGGCATTGTATTGACATTGGGCATATATATAGTACAATGATATATATACGATTACAATAATACCCTAATTACATATACACTAACATCCCCCCGCAATCGGAACGAGAGATACACGAACGTTCAAATTGTCTCAAAAATCCGTAAAAAGGACATGAGGCAAACCATTAGTCACTATATCAGCAAACGGGTGAAAAGAAGGAACTTGAAGAACTCGAATAGACTCTTGATCAACCTTCTCACAAACAAAATGAATATCAATCTCAACATGCTTGGTACGCTAATTCGGAACAGGATTAGTAGACAAAAAAAAAGCGCTGACATTAACGAAAAATTCTATGGTGGCAGTAGGCAACCGAATATACAGCTCCGAAAGTAATGAATGAATTCAACATACCTCAGAAGCTGCATTAGCAACCGTTCGATATTCAGACTGAGCATTAGAACGGGAAACAATGGGTAGCCATTTAGAAGACCAAGAGATGACATTGGGACCAATGAAGACACAATAACTAGAAGTAGATCGACAAGTATCAGGACAGCCAACTAAGTCAGTATCAGAATATACCACTAACTTATCAAGAGGTACACATTGAAGATGAAAACCATGAGAAAGAGTACCCTTCAGATAGCGCAACATGTGCTTGACTGCTTGGTAGTGAGACTCCCGAGACTGATGCATAAACAAACAAACTTGCTGCACTACATACGCTATATCTGGACGAGTAAAAGTAACATTCTAAAAGGCTCCCACAATATTGCGATACTCATACGGATCAACAAACAACTCTCCATCAAGTTGAGACAATTTAGCTTTAGTATCAACAAGAGTGACAGCAGGATTAGAAGAAGTAAAATGACAGTGATCAAAAGGTGATGTGCACATAATTTATCTATTTCTAATATCCCTTTATACGAGATTTTTCCAATATTTTAAGTACAAATATGCTATATATGTGATTTTATCTTTAATTACAGGAATTCTACTTAAATGGATAAATAATTGGAGGTTTGGACTAAATTGAAGATAAGAAGCAATTAGAATGGACAGAATTGAAGATCAGAAAAAGTAATGAGGAAGAAATCAGAGATCTTGAAGATTTGGAGAACTGAATTGCAATTATTATTTTTCTTCCTATGGTTTGGCCGAGAGAAGCTTACGGTGGTGCTGTTTGGAGTTGGAATTTGGCAAGAATTTTAATTCCAATTTTAATTGGGAAACAAGTTTTCTTAACCTCCAAAAAATAGAGTTTGACAAAGACCTATAAAAAGTGGATAGGATTCTATTTTTTTGGACCGAAGGCAGCACAGAAAATTACCGAAAAATCCTACGTCTCTTCCCGAGCTGCACTTCACCCCAGTCGCCGCACATCACCTCCTCTCTTTTGGTCGCCACTGGTAGCTCACCATCTCCGCCTCTTTTCACTCACGCAGCCTCCACCATCATCGCCATCAGCCTTCAAAACCATGCCTAACTTCCACAAAAACAAATCACCGTTCACAGCCCTTTATTAAGCTCCAACTCCACGGCCAAAAGAAAAAACCCCTCCATAACTCCCACGCACCACAAACCAGCCCTTTTCCACGCCACCACACCACATTAAGCCTCCTTCTACCATCATCATCCACGCACGCACAAACCGGAAGCAAAATAACATTGGCGAAGTTCTGCAGACTTGTCTTTTATTGCTTTCATTGTTATTTAATTTTAGATTGTGTGGATGATGTGGAGTAGCTAAACTATTTAATCTAGGGTTTTGATTGTAGCCGCCGTATAATTTAATTTAATTTAATTTATGATTGTGATTTTTTTATTAGTTGATATTTAATATTTTTGTTTTTATTCCATGCGAGTATTTGATCACCATTGCATGCTTTGAAGGTGTTTAACTGAAGGAATGACAGTTGAAGATTAGAACTAGTTCATGGGAATATTAGAACTAGGTAGTGAACCACGACATTAACAACACCGCTTTTGCAACTAAATATTCTAAAGTTCTTAATGTACTTTTATTAATCCATATAGTCATGATAGTAGTCATAGGGTTAGTTTAAGTAAGAGAAATATATTAAGCTAGTGAATAGTTCTTAAACAAGTAAATCGTTGTGAAATTAATGAAATTCTAAAATCATATATCTATAGATTGAATTAAGGTGAGTAGTCGGTTGGCCCTAGGTTTTCTTTTTTATTGATTAAATCTTAAATTAATTTCCATAGTTAGTTTTAGGTTTAGTTTAGTTTGAAATTGATATTATAAGTTGTCTAAATAATAATAAGAAATAGTTTTAACTGATATTTCGTAACCTTCTCTGTGGGATTGACCCGACTTTCTACTTTACTAATGGTATAGTGTTAAGTAGGTAATTATATTTGACTCGTGTGAGGTCGGCTTGTAAAATTTGGTGCCGTTGCCGGGGAAGGCAATAACCAATATCAAAACTAGATTATTTCTTTTATTAATTTAGATTTGTATATATTTTCTTTTATTTTCTTAATTTATTATTTTTAATTTTAATTTTAATTTTATTCTCTTTTCTTTCTTGTGTCAATATTTTTGTAGGAGTTTTGAGCTATCATGGAGAATTTTAACTATGGATATGGAGATTCTCTGTATTATAGTTATAATTCTGGATATGGAGACTATGCTACATATTATGGATAGTCTGGATTTGGAGATTCTATGTATTATAGTTACACTGTTGGTACAATTCTTCTTATGATCCTTACTATGGTGGTGATTGTCAAGAATATTCATTTGATGCTGGATACAATTCTGGTTTTGAGAGTTCCCATATGAGTTCTGAGATGTTGTCACGTTTGGAGAGAATTGAAAAATTGTTGATTGACAACAATAAGAACAATGCTTCAAATTTCTCTCAAGAGGATTGTTACTATTCCAATGCGTCAGTATATCTGCCATCACCTACTCAACCCGCTCTTAGAGAGTTACCACCTCGTCAACCTACTCTTGGGGAGCTAGTTGTCTTACAATCATCACAGGCTGAACCCACTTTGAGAGAGTTAGGACTGTCGAATTAGCAGCCACTTGCTCAACCTCAACTTATTGTTAGAGAGGCACCTCTTCGAGAATTGCAAAGTGAAAAGGGCAAACAACTGATTGATTAAATTAACCAATATAGGTTGAGTGTGGGGTTGCCGGAATATGATCCTATAGGACCTTTGCTTAAATTGAATAAGAATGAGGAGATACTTGAAGAAGATACACTGGTCTAGTCTCCCCCTTCACCATCTCAAACTGAGCTTGAATATGAAGAATTAGGAAAGACTAAAGAGTTTAAAAGTCCAGATATTACAAGTTCTCTTCATTCTTCTGGAGTATACGTTGTGTTGAAGCATGATTCCGTTATTTTGAGAGTCGGTGACAAAGATGTGGATCACGTTGATTTCACTGAGCAAAACATTCCTATCGATTCAAAAGAAGGGTTTGAAGCAAAAGATATGTGGCGAGGTTGTCCCTAGTATAAGAGATTTTAATGATGATGTGAAAGATGATTCAATAAAATGCAAAGAAGAGGATCAATGGTACAAGATTGAATTTGAGAAAGAGGATATTCTGGTCTTGGAGTACAAGTTTATATTTACTCATGCAAAGGAGAGTCGCTATAAGCGATGCATCACTATTGTTGAACTTGGTTTCTTCTGGTATCGAGATAGATGTTCTGATTGATCAGCCATGGAGTCCAGCTAAAGACTTTAAAACAAAGCTTGGGAGGCAACCCAACATTTTATTTTTGCTTTATTTTTTATTTATTTTTTTCTTCTTTCATGAATAAGTTGATGGTTAAGTTTTTTGTTCCTGATTATTTGAAAATCTATGATTTCTTAATCATCTGTCTAATAGATTTTCTATTTGTTTTTATTATTTTGTTTGCCAGCTACTCTAGAATAAATGGTGATGGAAAATGCTTCGATGGTCCTGCAAGAGATTCATCTACTTCAACAATTTCGGCTCTCCGCTTTACATTCCTAAGGTTGTGTCATTTCTTTTCATTTTTTTTCTCTTTTCTTTTCTTTTCACTTGGTTATTTGTCTTTTGTGTTTTATACATTGAGGGCAATGTATACTTTAGATGTGGGGGAGGAATATGTGTGTTTTCTGTCTATTTTTTTAAAAAACAAAATCCAAAAAAAGATTATAAAAATTTAAAAATCCAAAAAGGTATAGGATGAGCATGGGTTAATTATCTATAGCATATATAAGAATTAGGCTATTTTGAATTGTATTGCTTAACTTAAGTATTTCTGTATATTGCTTTGAATACCCATATTTTGATTCGCTTAGTCGTGACTGTGGGATAAGTTTAAAGTGAGATATAGTTGCATGAGTTTGATATAGATATGCCATTAAAGTTGTGTTTTATTCACTCATTCTCATATGATATGTATGTAGAACCCATCATGTTGTGAAGGAAAAGTAAGGCATTAACCCAATATCAGCCTTAAAAAAACCTTCTTGCTTTGACACTTTGTGTTGAGTAAGTTTGGGAGAAGGGTGTTGGCGGATGCTTTGAGGTTAGGTTAAATTTATTGAGAGAGAAAAGGAAGA